CTCGTGTGTTTTTGAAAAGACCAAAATATCATCCATGTACACAATCACGCAGAAATTGATCAGGGGCTGGGTTAGTCGGGTTTTGTTAACGAACTCAGCGAAGGCCATATTCATGGCCCGCTGAAACGTTGTAGGGGCGTTACAAATTCCCATGGGACACCGGACCCATTGCCACGTGCCCTCAAATAGGACAAAAGCGGTTTTGGGTCGGTCTTCCGGTCGGACTGCGACATGGTGAAAACCGTGTCGGATATGGAACTTGGAAAAGACTCGAGCGGACCCGATAGCATCCAATAAATCGTCGATTCACGGCAAGGGATACACATCTTTGGTAGTGATAGCGTTCAATTTTCGGTAGTCGATACATACCCGGACCGAACCATTTTGTTTTGGCACGAGGACCACAGGAAAAGACCACGGTCCTAGCGATGGTTTGACCCACCCCAACCGCTCGAATTCTCGTACCCTTTCCAACGCCAGTTGTCTTTCTTTAAGAGAATATCGGTACGGTCGGCAATGTATCGGGGCGTGATCCCCGGTATCAATCGCGTGCWGTATCAAAGGGGTTAGCCCTATGTCGTGGTCCTAAATACTGACGGCCTCAGGATAGGCCCGTATAACCGCCAGGAGGAGGCGTCTATATTCATCCGGAACATGGGCTGGTAACTGAACTTCTACGGTTCCCCCAGGAAGGGAGACCGTCGTCATAACCGTGGGGACCACCGCTGGCATCGGGCGAGGCCCCAAACAAAGAGTTGTCGGTTTTCGCCGAAAGGACAGTCGCAATAAGTTGACTGTCCGCCGGACTCATCGGCTCGCTTTCCATGTCACTGTCACTGTCCAGTTCGGGTTCGGCCGAGGGTTCTACCGAAAAGGCCTACGTCAGTTCCCTCGGTCCCCACTGATATTCCCTGGTTCGGGGTTGAAACGACACCCCCTCTTTCAAGAGTATCGCGGCTTTTTCATTCGTGAGTAGGGGCCGTGGAGGTCGAAAAGATAAATCGCACAGCCCCCTAAGCTCGGTAAATCTTTCAGGTAGGGGGTCCGTCCTGAGATATAAGGACGCAGGGGGTTCCTAAAGGTCAGCTATTCGGGACACCCTCAGCAGGGGTTCCCCCTGCACCACGGAGGAGAACGAGTGCGACCAATTGGACTCGCTCCGAACTATTTCCAGGGTTTTCTCGTCGCCAGGAATGGCGCCACCGATCCTGAACCCGGATCGGATATCGGTCGGGAACGTCAGTCTCGTCAGTTCCCGACGAGGTTTCATTTTCGCCTGGCGACAGGCGTCGGATCATGTTGATTTGGTGGGCTTTCGTGGTGATTCGAGGCGCCGGTTGGGTACGCATACGCACCGCCAATCTCATTGGTATCGTTTGTGGTTTGGGGTGGGCCGATGTGAGAACCACCTTACAGTTGTCAAAGTGCATTCGCGCTCCAACCGCCGCCTGCCATAGAATGCCTAGCAGAACATCATACGCCTGTACATCCAGCACGATTGCGTCGCATAAACAATGCACGCCCCACCCGTATAGGCACGTTCGTTATCCGCCCTTTACAATGAATGTTGTCTTCCGTAGCGGATATATACAGTTCATCCGGTCGGAGGGGCTGAACTTGTTCTTCCCTTCCCAATCGTTTCGTCAATCTCCAAGAAATGGCGACTGCTAACGATCCCGAGTCTAGGATGGCGGCCGAGGGGTTTCTCCAGACCTCGCAGTCACACTCAACGCTTTTCCAGGTTATAGGATAGGCCCGGAGAAATACCTCGGGGGTTTCTGAGGCGGAATCTACGGTCTGGATCATTCCTATCCAGTTGGCTTCGTGCACCTTTGAGGTCGAGGGTTGTGACTCCTCGTTTGTGGGTGGGTCTCGTAGGACCGGCTTTTTGCCCTTTCGACTTTCCTCGAATCGGCGCCTGTTCGTTAGCCGCCTCGTTTGTG